TACACACTATTATTTATTTTATATTTGTTTACGTTTCAAAAGTACCAAATTATGGTTTAATTAAAATAAATGCTTTGACTTTGACTTCAATACACCTGTAAAGGGGCAAAATAAAAATAAAAAATAAAGAAAGACATAGAGAGAGAGATAAGTAGAAAAAAATCGTCAAGAAGTCCTAAGTTATTTGAAGTATTTATTTGTGTTAAGTTAAGCCGCGGTTGTTTCTGTGGGTGGCGTGAAGAAGATAAATGTTTATTGACAATTATTGCTTTTAACTCAACCAATTCATCTTTACAACGTGTCTTTTGTAATATTGCCGCGGGATACTGGCCTGGCTTGGGGAATTAAATAGTTATTTATAGAACGGTTTTATTTTTTACTCTGAAATTATGTGAAATTGTGTCGTGTTTTAAATATCGAAAAGATAATGTCAAAATCAAAGTCAAAGCATTTACCTATTTCAATCGATCTTTAATTAGACACTTTTAAAACGTCAATAATTGTATTGTCCGTTCGTCTGTTTGTTAGTAGACCTAGGTAGGAGCTTAGTTGATGTAGTTGTAAAATCTAACGTTTCATGAAACTTGTTCTATAGCTTAAACTCGGTTTTATTACTAGATGTCGTGCTCCTATAGAAATTTGGAAAAAAGTTCCGTTCTTCCTTGTTCAACAATCGCTATTGCGTAATATATGTGATAGCTTTATTATTGATTTATGTACACATCTTAATAGAAATTCACAATGTTTCTTTACAATAATAGATTAAAATTTGATTTGAGAATCCTTTTTTTTCTATGGTACATCGTTCATTTATCCTTTCTTAACAAGAACATTCCAGAACGTTTAATCCTTAACTTTTATAGCACAAAACAATAATTACAAGACAAACATAGGGACAAATCATCTATTTAAAAGGCTATTCCCACATCGTAACAGGTTGTAAGAGCCGTCAAAACATTCGGCCGGCACTCACAGCGCAGCGGGGCGCAATCAAAAGGTACCATAAGTCCCAATATTATTGCCTATTTATATTTACCGACACTTAAGTAAAGTGTTGTACGGACAAATTAATGTTTTTTGTGCCTTGTCGTGGCGGCAAAATAGAATTGTAACTAACCCTACGGTGCTGTGCCGATCTAGTTCGTATATAGTTTGTATGAAAGAAAGAAAAATTTATTCGTTAGAATGTAGCTACAATAGGTGTTTTATCTTAATCAACTCGTCTAGCACCGTCAATATAGACACAATTAACTCGTCGAGTACCGTCATTATAGACACAATTATAGAACAATAGGTTGCGGTCACCGGTGACCGCTTGGTGTTTGACAGTTTAAAGAACAATAGGTTGCGGTCACCGGTGGCCGCTTGGTGTTTGACAGTTTAATGTCTCATACATTCTACAGAATCGGTGTATAAATGTTACACTTATTTTCTACTTACATATTTATGTAAGCCTCATTGGCCGAGTAGTCGCAAGTGCAACTGCCGGGCAAGGGGTCTCGGGTTCGATTCCAGGGTCGGGCAAAGTATCACTGGGTTTGTAAAAACCTCAGTAGTAGCATGGAGTATGGATATGTGCCCGGTATATGACAATAGACTCACCCCCTATTGCATGAGACTCATAACATAAAATAGTGAAAAGTAGGTGTTACAATGTACAGTGGCAGTAAGTACCGTAATGTGCATCTCTGACTACTCCTTTGGGGATAAAAGGCGTGATGTTATGTGTTTTATTTTATAAACGTGTAGGAGTATAATGGTCAATTTAAGTCGACTTGTTTCATTAAAGGACGGGCAGACAGACGTGTTGTACTTTTGTATTATACGCAGTATTTTTAGTTTTCTCTAGTCCATTTTTGGATCAAATTGAAAAGTCTCTGATTCAAATTTTTTTTATTTTATTTCTACTCAATAATGTGTGATTATTTCTTCAAAAAACCACCACTTACGCTTCTTTTATTTTATTTATATTTTAAAAGAGACTGTATACCTACCCTTGATATATTCTCTAATTTTTCTCATTGTTGACTACATTGAGAACTACAGTTCCATCCTGAAAGCTGTTGACAACTTAACCGGTTACTGGGGCTCCGATTCAAAGCAGGAGTAGGAACGCGGTGGTTTTAGTCAGTACGAGTCTGTCACTCCCTCTCGCCTCAACCAACGCGTGGGAAGGCAATAGATGATTTTCCGCCCTTAAAAAACCTAACGTAGAAGTATTATTTTATTTAACTACTTATTTAGTTTATTTATTTTTTTACTTGTTTACTTTATTTAGTTAATTACTTAAATTACCCCCAAAATAGTACTTGTGTTTGCAATATAAATAATTTTGTAAAATGTTGTTATTCAAGACATCTTCTGTGAATTTTACATAACAGTAACTGACTGCATTCACAAACAATGAGCTTAATAAATATTAAAACAGCTCGTTACACTAGTTGTAGAAGTTTTCAACTAATTCGCCAACTAATTACTTTTGTTTGATCTTACAAACATGTCCTTTTATACTAGGGTTGTGTATATGTAAAAAGAAGAATCTACTCTGTATTAAAATTACCATGTTTTTCTTTAAACTAGGTGTACAAATTATATTCCCCTAAGGGTTTTGTAGAGATTTTGTTCCCACTTTTATTAGTCAGCTGTTGCTCGCGACTTCATTCGCGTAGAATATGATTCCTGATCCCATGGGAGCATTAAATTGGGATGAAAATATCCTATCACCTAAGTCATACATACCCTGTCTGTATACCAAATTCTATCAAAATCCGTTCTGTAGTTGCAGCGTGATTGACGGACAAACATCCGAACAATGATACTTTTACATATTATAACCTTAGTGTGATGTCATTTAATGAAAGATGAATCCATGATTAATAATAGTAAAATATAGTACCTATAGTATCTAGACCATCCTAATCGTACTCCTAGACTGGCACTAGGTACTGGAATGCTACCAATCCGGTTTTTATTTCCTTAGGTACATTTAACATCACGGGCCTGCGGACGGCGTGCACGGGTGACTCACCGCAAAACCAGAACCTGGCCCGAGCGTACGGCGCGTCGCGTTCCGCGCGCGCCTCAAGGAGCCATCAGACCACCACAGTTGGGGCCCAACAAGGCTGATGCCGATATAGAGCCGTGAAAGACTTAACGGGTTGCCGGGGCTCCGGCTCGAAGTGCAGAAGTAGGAACGGGGTGGTTTTTATTCAGGAAGAGTCTGACACTCCCTCTCGCCTCACCTGGGCGGGAGAAGTTAATGCATGATTTTCCCCCCTCAAAAAAAGGTACATTTAACATACTATAGAGTAAAGAGCTCTGTGACCATAATCATAAAGACAAATAAATTAAGAATTTCAAGTGTTGACATTATGTCAGAGCACTTAAAACAGAGTACTTCATTCAGTAGTGGACGGATTCCGTTGTTGGCTTAGAAGATATTTTGAGCAATTTTCTTTTCATCATTTCATTCCCTTCTCTGTCTTTCCTTAGAAGTCACACAGCATACAGCAGTGTTAGTACGTGGTAATGATATTTTATTCAAGTTATTAACACAGGCTGCCCACTTGGCTATTTACTCGTAAAATGATATTGTTTTGTTGAATGCACGGGACAATGGAGATCTTACCTGTCTTTATTTACTTTAACCCTTTCACTGTAGCAACGTACTTAGAACTTACGGCTAGAGTGAAAAAGTCCCTTTTAGGAAAAGGTTAAGTGTGGGAGAGCCATGCTTCGGCACGAATGGGCTGGCTCGACCGGAGTGATACTACGGCCTCACAGAAAACCGACGTGAAGCAACGCTTGCGTTGTGTTTCGTCGTGTGAGTGAGGTTACCGGAAGCCAAATTACCCTCCCCTTTCCCAATCTCCCCAATCCCTAAATACCCAACTATCCTCAAACTCCTAATCCCTAAAAAGCCGGTAACGCACTTGTAACGCTTCTGGTGTTCCAGGTGTCCATAGACGACGCCGATTGCTTACCATCAGGTGATCCGTCTGCTCGTTTACCGGCTTATGCCATAAAAAAAAGGTTACGTTACTGTACCTCTAATTAGAGACAAAAAGAGACTGTATGTCGAGATTTTTCTCGTAATTTCTATGTTTCTGTAACCTCTTATTTTTCCTCCTCTTATATTTTGTTCTTATTCATGTTGTTGTGTTAGAAATATTTCCCGGCTACCAATACAGTTAAAATTTTGCAAGCAATGTAACACTATTGTAATGAAACTGATCTGATGATGGAACTACAAGATGGCCATAAGAATAGCTACAATAATTTAACGACCGTCAAGTTTTGGTTCGTAGGAAAGTACTCGACTCAGTGATCTAACCACAGTTCCGAACGGGATAATATTTTTCTTTACACATTTGTGACGTAATAAACTTTTATTTGAATGATAACATTAATAAAGCCAAGTAGTCGAATTGACTGGCGATTGTTACTTCATTAGCAAAACCACAGTTAAAAAGCTAATACGATTTTACAGATGTTTCATACCCAGCCCTAGCTGAAAATCTAGCGTGCTGAATATTCATTGAAATAAGTTTAATAACTAGTTGTTGTGCATACATACAAATGCAGCTCCTTACTGAAAGACTGCGTGAAGATAATGCACTGTTTGTACTTATATACACTTATTTATACTTAATCTCTTATACTGCCTCGTCGGCCGAGTGGTCGCAAGTGCGACTGCCGGGCAAGGGGTCTCGGGTTCGATTCCCGGGATTTATAATTTACACATTAACAGGAACCAGGCAGCTCCGATCTTTAGCCTGCCTTTTTTCTATGGCGGTGGAATTTTTATGGACTTCCCATGTCTTGGGGACGACGGGGAGCATCCGGACTCTTGCCGGATAAAGCCACTGCGATGTTCCTCCACTGCCTGTGATTGTGACCCGGGATGCTCTTGCGGAATCACCACACTCGGCATGCTTCGTACTACCGCTACGTCTGCGACAGGTCCCGCCACGTAAGCGACCCTGGGAGGCTGCTTCCCTTTCTCGAGTGAATCTAAACCCTGCCTGCGAAATGTAGGGAACATGGTAAATCCTCTTTGGAGATGCTCATAGTCGAGCAGTGGACCGTTGAAATTGAAGAGCTATTTAAGATTTATTGGGGCTTATTAACAAATTAACCAAGATTTATTTCTTTTCAGCTAGCTGATCTGATAGTCAATCAATCAATCAATCAAAGTCTTCGTACCGTTTAAATTTTTTTCACCTAAAACCTTCCTAGGAGACTTGCACGAACATTTCAAGACCAACATTAGCCAAATCGGTTCATTTTTATTCATATAGATAGATTTCCATAAAGGGGATTAATCGTGTATTCATTTTAATAATCAACCCATATCTAGAAATAGCTGGCGATACGTAACGGAAGCTCGGTGTTAATTATAATCTGACATCTGTCAATTCCTTGAGTGTAACGTCACGTATCCATTAGAGGGAAATTATATTTTATCTAAGTACTTAATTCATTGCACTCCACTATACAGGTAGGTAAGTGATATTGTGATAACGTACTAAATAAAATTATTATCTACCTACTCCTTGTTTTTTTTCACGTAAAACATGTGAGTAACTGTTTTGAAATGTTTAATAACAAGGCGCTGTTTCAATAGGATTTCAACTTAATATAGCTGTTTGGTTTATGTTATGGGTGCAACAGCAAGTTTACGTAAACGATAATCTTGGTTAATAACCTCAGTGGTTTTTGGTGGCTATTTTAAATAGATAATCCTGTACTTATTTTAAATATGATAAAGAAAAAAAGGTGGGTGAAAAGTCCCGAGTGTACGGCGCGTCGATTTCCGCGCGCCTTAAAGAGCCATCAGGCCCCAACAGGGCTGATACCGATACGGTGCCACGTAGGACTTAACGGGTTGCCGGGGCTCCGGCTCGACATGCAGGAGTAAGAACAGGGTGGATTTTAGTCAGTAAGAGTCTGACACACCGTCCCGCCTCACCTGGGCGGGAGAAGTCATTGGATGATTATACACCCTCAAAAAAAATGGTGGGTGAAAAGTGGCGATACCGACAATGAGTAAAATTCAGACTAATCCTTCAAGTATAATATCAGCATAATATTTCATTTCGTAAAGTATAAATGTGCACACATCTGCACCTCCCATGCTGCAGCTATAATGTAATCCCTTGTCTTCTTCTTTTTTATGGCATAAGCCGGTAAACGAGCAGACGGATCACCTGATGGTAGGCAATCGGCGCTGCCCATCGACACCTAAAACACCGAGGCGTTACAAGTTACCGGCCTTTTAGAAATTGGGAATTAGAGGATTGGAGGATTCGGGGATTGGGAAGACTGCGGCGGGGGGGGGGGATGTAATTGGGCCTCCGGTAACCTCACTCATACGACGAAATATAATGCAAGCGTTATTTCACGTCGGTTTTCTGTGAGGGCATGGTATCACTCCGGTCCAGCCGGCCTATTCGGGCCGAAGCATGGTTCTCCCACACTTGAGCTCTTCAGCTATAAATTGAACTCTGATCTATATTAAAATATCAAACAAGTGACGTCAGATTCAACCCTTAAAATTCTTTACTAATAAAGATATAGGTAACCAATAATTTTTATAATAAAATATCAATAACTACCATCAGCTGTTGAAGCATAAGAGCTTAATAAACAAACAAACTCACTAAGCTATTACAATATTAGTTAGGAATTAGTATTTCAGAATATATGTGACTGTAATTAAAACCTAACATAATTCTTAATTAGATATATCAAAATAATGAACTATATTAATTTGAAGGTCCACTAATTTAGAACGTATCATAATACTTAGTTGTGATAGTTTTCAGTATCAGATTTCAGATTCCACGCATGATTAAGCCATGTAACGATATCATAAAAATACATGTATATTTGAAATAATTTAAGTTAATTATGAACTTAGTTACCACATAGGTATTCATTATCTTAATAGTAATAATAAAATGGTAGTGTCGAAATACCAAACTTACACTGCCTCATAGAATAGAACGATAACAGTGGACTGTAGAATACACGGTGTCACGATTTTTTCTTTTTTATGATAGTAAGCAATCGACGTCGACCATGGACACCTGGAACACCAGAAGCGTTACTAGTGCGTTACCTGCCTTTTGGGATTAGGAAGATTGAGGATTCAGGGATTGGGGAAGGGGGGCCTTCGGTAACCTCGCTCATACGGCGAAACACAACGCAAGCGTTGTTTCACGTCGGTTTTCTGTGCGGCCAAAGCATGGCTCTCCCACACGTAAAGCCGAGTTTAAATTCTGGATCAGAGATGTAGTTATTGCTGAGAATGTTACGAATGTTAATATCCGTTAATACTTTACCTGACTCAGGATACGGACACGACAATCATCGAGCTCTGGCAAAGAGTCTTGTAGTTAACTAAAAATCGCGGGTTACTCACGTGAATATACTGAGAAAAGATCTACTAGTTTCAAACTACAGAGGGGTTCTTCCTCATTAGCAGCGTGCGCGGTCGCGGCCATGTCGCGCAGCCTACTTTTTATTTTTTTTTAGCGATGTTTAGTTAATATGGGATGTCTCACGATAGTTATTATAAAAAAAGAGTCTTGTAGCTTTAAGATTACGAAATTATGTATGTAAACTTATTTCATCTTCAACTTTCATCACCTTCTATTAAAAATACCAACAAGAAAAATGTAGCACATATCAATCCTATCTTCGTATCCAATATAAAGTATTGAGAAGAAATATTCCAACACCTTACCTAATAACATTTTGTATATAAATCGTATTAAAAAGTAAATTAAAAATTCCATCTCACCTCCACAAGTTCGTATCAGGAAAATATATTTTATGTTGTATCAAATATAGGTTACATGTCGTCTTCATATGATTTTATAACTAGCTTTTAGCCGGGGTTTCACCCGCGTAGTATTTCGAACAGTCTCTTAGATGAATGTTCTGGAATCACTACATAGTATAAAATAAAGTCGCTATCTACCGTCTGTCTGTCGCTATGCTTAGATCTTAAAACTACGCAACGGATTTTGATGTGGCTTTGTAAATAGATAGAGTTATTCTTAAACTGTCAAATACCAAGCGGTCACCGGTGACCGCAACCTATTGTTCTATAATTGTGTCTACAAAACCGGTACTCGACGAGTTAAGGAAGGTTTATGTGTATAATACATGCATATTGCACCCGTGCAAAGCCGGGGTGTGTCGCTAGTTACTCTTATGAATCCTGAAGGATCCATATGATTATGAGGATAAAAACTAGTCTATTATTTACTGATAAGTCAGCTTTGGATAGGTAAAAGAATTTATAAATACAGTGAAACCTGGTTAAGTGAGACATCAAGGGACCTGCAATGTCGTTTCACTTAAAGAGGTATTCCACTTACCTAGTGTCTCAGATGTACAGGTATAAATAAATAACTGTCTCATTTACAGAGGGTTCGATTAATAGAGGTGGACTTGGAATTACGTGTGGAATTTGTGGGTAGAATAAGAATGAGTAAACAAGCAATGTTATCTCAGTTACAGAGGTTTATGCATATAAAATTTACTCGCTGTCTCAGTTATAGAGGTAACTATGATGATAAATCGAAAGAACAAATCCCAGATATAGAGGTTTACCTCGTCCCACTAACTGAGGTAATTCAGTGCCAAAGTGTTGGAACCTGGAACCAGGATGAGTTCCAGTTATGGAGGTTTCTCACTTATCCAGGTCCCACTTAACCAAGTTTCACTGTAATAGAGTTTCTTGTTCCGTCTTCCCCATATCAATTTATGCATTAGAACTGTCACGGAGTATCAAACCTTACTATTGATTTTATTTCATTTTGATGTTTTATAACTAACTGCACGATTGTTGCGGTGTTTGGGCAACTGGCTGCCACGTAACTTGTCGCGGGTTCGTTTCTCGCACGGAACAACTCTTTGTGTGATCCAGAAATTGTTGTTCCAGGTCTGGGTGTCATGTGTATGTGAACTTGTATGTTTGTAAACGCACCCACGACACTGGAGCAAACCTTAGTGTAGGGCAACGTTTTTTTTTAAATACTGCTTATGTAGACTTTTGATTTGCTTTTTAATACTACAAAAGTACAAACAGACAAACAAAATATTTATCTTTACAATATCACTATCAGTCACAGATACGACGGCAATATATCGAATTGTAACTTTATTAGAATTCTTTGAACATTTCTCAGTAGGTACTCGTCGATGTATTCGCGACTGAAAAATTTCATATCAAACTCGCTGTAAATTGGGATTCCGCAGTCAAGCGTGTCGTACAAAATATTATAACTGTTTGCCCTTCTGATATATCTATAGGTATTAGTCACACCCTCATGTTTTTTAAAACCGTACGCTTCAATTTATTTCTTCTTCTAGTTGTACTGTTTTCTTAAAGTACATGGCCACTCAATTTATTTTTAATTGTATTTAAAATATTCGAAATTAATGTATTTCCATATTTCAGAATTGCATAGTAACAAACAATCCAGCCACGTGCAGTTCAGATAATGTAATTAAAAACTTTTTTATGGGTTAAGGAGCAAACAAGAAGGTACCTATACAGATGGCCTGATAGCAAGCGATGAACGCCGCCTAAGTTCATACCATTCCTAATAAATTTATTCAAGCACATATTATAAAAATACACAATTCATCTGAGTTCGATTATCCCTGCTAACGTATTCATAGTACAATATAAATGTAAACGCGCCGACACCATGCCCATACAATCACACCATGCAAACGATGTATGGGGGTTGCGGGGAAAATATCCCCTTCATATCGTTTCATTAAAATCTTCTATGCTTGAGCAATGATGCTCAAAGTTCTGTATCAAAGACAGACCTGTTTTTAAGATTCCGGTTTGGGTAATTTTGATATGTCGTGTGTTGACAATAAAATTTATTTTATTTATTTTGTTTTCAGCCATGATCGTCTCACTGCAGGGCAAAGGCCTCCCCACTCTCCTTCCACTCTTCTCTATGTAAAGCTTTTTGCGACCAATCCTTGTCATAGATGTCAAAGATAGCGAGCTCCCAAAAGGAGATAGCGGGACGCCGCTATCTCCTTTTGGGCCTACCGCGAACGCTACTGACAGTAAAATATAATACTTATATCACCCCCCCTCCCCCTTTCTCGCGGTTTTGGTAAGAGTTAACTAAGGGATTACACATATACATATACAAATAGGATAGGAAACAATGATATTATAAGTAAAAAGGTGTAAATCTTATATCTTATACTATTATATAAAGTGGAAGCTAATCTCCGTAACTACAAGTCTGATTTGAATAATTCTTTTTGTGTTGGGTAGCGCATTTATCGAGGATGGCTATAGGCTATAAAACATCACGCTACGACCATTACGAACTGAGCAGAGCGTATGAAACCGCGCGGAAGTAGCTAGTAGGTTATAAGCGCACAGAAAGTGTTACGTTAAAATGTAAGTAATTAACCATACTTCACCCAAAAATTTGCGTTGCGCTGTCAACGTATTCTTATGTGCGTTTGTAGCCTTATTTATTTTTGAAGATCGGATATTGTTGAGGTAACCTATTTATGCCTTGGTACAAAAATCAATCTCAAAACAATGATGTTTTCTTCCATGCAGAAGAGGTCCATTGTCCAGCAGAGTACGGTATCAGCCTGTTGATACTTTAAAACTTTGAGAAACACTGTCCCTTATTAAGCAATAAATACATGAGTTGATTTATATTACAATCGACACAATAAGATGTATTGCGTCTTCTTAGACATACAATACATACGTACAGACAGACATTGTGTGCTCATATTAATGACGCGACAGACAGATACCAATACCTACTTACGTAATATGTAGATAAAAATACATCGTTATTTTTGGATTGTATTGATTAAAAAAGATTTATTATTTATCTCATTTTGTAAAATGTTAAGTTAACAATAACATAGAACTTGGAAATCTTGGAATTTGAAGTTACTTTTGATTAAGTAATTTTATTATGAGCTAGTAATACGATGGGGTTGAACTCATTGTTTATAGCTAACGTAATTATTTTAAAGACGTCCCTCCCCTCCAATAACAAAGACTCTCCCGAACAAAGATTTCGTTAAAACAAATCCCAAATTGTTTTCTTTTAATTCAGAATTCCGCAAACTAATTAAAAGTACCATTTTACAATATTTTTTTAAGCTAACGACACTTCACAATGAAAAATTACTTGATCGAGTTTGATACGGAACCATCAGTTTTACATAGAATAACAGACCGCTCTCATTTTTATGCTAATCTTGGTTATACATTTTTTATGCGATATCAACTTCGTAGAAACTAGCTTCATCAAAGACCTAATATACTAGCCTAATTGTTCGGAAAGAGAAAGAAGATTAACTTACTTAGACTTAAGATTAACAGGCTTTGGTACTCAGATACCTAAATATATCTTAATCCACCTGAAAATTGTACACATTACATATTATTATGGCAAACCTTCTAATAATATCAAGGAAGCCCATAGCGGCCCATCGCAATAGGCTCAATATTATATGAGACTTACAACATAAATAGTGAAAAGTGTACAGTGCCATTAAGTGCTGCGATGTGCACCTCTGCTTACCTCTTAGGGGATAAAAGGCGTGGTGTTATGTTATGAAGCCAATAGTCCACGTCCAGCATTGGACTGTCACGGGTTGCTGATGTTGATGAGCGCCGACAGTGTTACCTACTTTTGAATAAAACTTAGGTAGTTAGCAAGTACAATCGACAAGGTTAGCGGTCGACCATTTAGGCGATATCCGCATGCATTCGGCGCAAGAGACCACAGGAAGAACAGGGTGTTTGCCATAGGAATTTATTTAAAAACTGTACTACCGTCAACTTTACTGATAGTACCTCTTAAGCAATGACTTCTAGCTTTTTTTTTTTTTTTTTCTGGCATAAGCCGGTAAACGAGCAGACGGATCACCTGATGGTAAGCAATCGACGTCGCCCATGGACACCTGGAACACCAGAGGCGTTACAAGTGCGTCACCGGCCCTTTGGGGATTAGGAGTTTGAGGATCGTTGGGGATTCAGGGATTGGGGAGATTGGGGAAGGGGAAGGTAATTGGGCCTCCGGTAACCTCACTCACACGACGAAACACAACGCAAGCGTTGCTTCACGTCGGTTTTCTGTGAGGCCGTGGTATCACTCCGGTCGAGCCGGCCCATTCGTGCCGAAGCATGGCTCTCCCA